GTGGAGTTTGCATGTTCTCTCCGTGCATGCGTGGGTTTTCTCCGGGTACTCCGGTTTCCTCCCACAGACCAAAAACATGCATGTTAGGCTGATTGGTAACTCTAAATTGTCCCTAGGTGTGAGTGAGAGAGTGAATGGTTGTTTGTCTCGTTTGTCTCTATGTGGCCCTGTGATGGACTTGCGACCTGTCCAGGGTGTACCCCGCCCCTCGCACAGTGATTGCTGGACATGGGCACCAGCGACCCCCGTGACCCAAAATGGAATAAACGGGTAAAGATAATGGATGGATGGATAGTTGATATAGTATGTACAATACAGGTTAGGTTTAAGAAAACAATTTGTTCTGTGGCAACTACCTTGGAGGTTTCTCACAATAGCCTGCTTTCTTACAAAAAGTCCTTACAAGTAATATGTGCAAATGATATTTTGTTATATATATATTTTTCCTGGTGCTCTGTGTGTAAAAAAACAAGAGTAATGCAATCCTTTCCAAGGATGACTAGAGATAAAGTTTAGCTTAAAGGCAGGTTGTCAGTGTTCTACCTTCATAAGATATTGATTGTGTGCTGTTTTACAAATCCTAAGAATATCATAATATGTACAGGAAATGGCTAGAAAATGCAAAGTTTTGAGTAGACTTAAAAAAAAAAAAAAATCCAGTGGACCATACCCCCCAGGACTGCTTTGCTCAAGCTGTACTTGTTAATATGTATAAGTCCCTCTCATTACCATCAGCAGTTGGCAGGTAAGGTGCAGGCTTTTGATATTCTTTTTAAATTATATAGATTTTTGTTATCTGTTTTAGTTTCTAAAAATAAAAGATAATATTAAAGATAGAACTATTTAGCTGAATGTATGTAAATTGCCAATGACATTTAGAAAATTGCACAGGGGGTGCCACCTAAAATTGTGCCTAGGGTGCGACATTGGCTAGGCTCAGCACTGTCTGTATAGTCACAGATGTATGAATAAATGACCAAATACGTCTGTCCAGTTTTATTGCAAGGCATAGTATGCTTGTGACATGTGGAACTTCCTAAAGCTGCAATGCATAAAAAGTATTTATAATTATTTTGGTACTTGAATCACCATTTGAAATATTTATTTGAAATTGTCAAACTGCTGCAACAATAGACATCATAAGATGACACCAATTATACATATCTAAATGTTTATATGATAAATTAGTTTGAGTCTTTTTCATTTTCCTTATATTTTTTTAATTCCCCCCCAAACTAAGTAAGATTTCAATTGAAAATATTTCTTGTCAACAACAATGAGGCAAACAGAGATCCAATCCTAATCTTCAACAGTTTGAACCCCAGTTCCCTTTCAGCAACTAATGCATTGCCACAAATTGCTTTCTGTAATTCGTTCTCTAATTGCCACATAATTAGTTGTAGCATTTACACCACTGAGACGATTCATTGCATGAGGTGTCCTGGATTTGGGCATACAGTTGCAGAAATCAGAGTATTACGAGACCTCAATTTGTTCATGGAATAGTTTCCATGGGCGGCTGTGGCTGAGTGATTAGAACAGTCGTCCTCCAATGCAAGAGTCACATGCCGAAGTGTCCCTGGGCAAGACACACTGAACCCCTCATTGCCACCGATGTGTGTCCCATCGGTGTATGAATGTGATAAAGCACTATAGCTTTGTTTAGATCTAGTAGAGCGCTGTATGAATGGGTAAATGAGGGCAAAGATTGTAGTATAAAGTGCTTTGAGTATCTTGATAAGACAGAAATGTTCTATGTAAGTACAAAGTACATTCCAAATATTTATTTATTCACTTTTATTTTTCATAACGGAGCAGTGGCCAAATCTTGTGAGATTGAATATACCCTTGTTAAAATTATTTATGGTTTTAATTGATTGCTGTCAACAAACAACTTAACTGTTTTTGTGGATTCATTTAACCACAACTTAAGACCAGAGTTATGCAAACAACCCAAAGTGCAGTCTTCCTGATAGTGTAGGCATCTAAAGAGCTCCTTCAAATAGAATTATCTGACAAAAGGCATCTCCTGGCCTCCCTTTAGTTTTCAACTGACAAAAAGTTTTTAAAGCAAGGATTCAAAGAAAAAGGTAAATCCATACGTCAATCCATGATCTTTAACTACCGTATTTTCCACCATACATGCCACACTGCCCTATAAGTTGCATCAGTCCAAATATGTCTAATAAAGTGGAAAAATCCATAAATATACCACTTCGCTGTATGCATCTTATCTATTATGCATCACCGCTGACGTGTCACATTTGTTACGCATCACCGCTGACAACCTAGAAATGTGGGCCGAACCTGGAAATGTGGGCCGGTGTTGTGCCAAAAATGACGGGCTGCCAAATGGCAGCTGCGGGAGCATGCATGGAAGGACTTTAACAAGAATTTAACAAGATTAACACTTTAAAACTATTATTTGTTTGCTTGAAATTATTGCAAAGGTGTGTCTCAGTTGAACTTTTGCTTAATAAATGCACTTTGACGGTCAAATAGCTGCATTTCAAAACTCGATTCGCAGAAGCCGGCACGCGCAGAGGGATGAGCCTCTGTGCATTTCTTAGAAATTTAATAAGATAAACACTTAAAAACATTTATTTGTCTGCTCGACTTTATAGTAAAGGTGTGTCTCAGTTGAACTTTTACTTACCAACTGTGCCTGAGGGGGAAAAAAGGTATAAAGCTTAATTTAAAAAATAAAAAATAGGCTAATAGGGCACATGACATCTGTTCTGCCTGATTAATTTCACAATTCAGGCATAAAAGATGGAAGAAGGTGTAACGATCCGAGATGAAATAATTGCCAATTTGAGCAATGGAACTATCTATTGCTCCCAGGAAATAAATAAGAAACTAATTCAAATGCAAAATAATTATATAGATGCAGCTCAGAAAATTAGAATGTGGTGAAAATGTTCAATATGTTTTGTCAGTCATTTCAGAAAGTGAAACTCGAACATTATATTGATTCATTACACATAGAGTGACATGTTTGAAGTCTTTATTTCTTGTAATTTTGAGGATTATGGTTTACAGATAATGAAAAACCAAAACTCAGTGTATCAAAACATTTGAATATTGTGGAAAAAGTTCAATATTCTCATGGAAATTCATAGTGTCAGACTCTAATCAGCAAATAAATCGAAACAAATGCAAAGTTTTCCTGAGCCTCAGAAGGTTACACAATCTTGGGGAAGACTGCTGACTTGACAGATGTCCAGCAGGCAGTCATCATTAAGGAGGGAAAGCCACATAAGGTCATTGCTAAAGAAGCTGATGTTTCACAGAGTGCTGTATCCAAGCATATTCATAGAAAGTCAAGTAGAAGGAAAAAGTGTGGCAGGAAAAGGTTATTTCATTTAGGTTTCATTCTCATTTCAGAGTAATTCATGCAAAAGCAGGCCAACCAAGTATTGAGTGTATAAAAATTAATGTACTTTTCAGAAGCCTGACATTTGTGTTTAAAATGTTATTTTTATTGATCTTATGTAAGACAAATTTTCTGAGACACTGAATTCTGGTTTTTCATTATCTGTAAGCCATAATAATCAAAATTACAAAAAGTAAAGGCTTGAAATATTTCACCTCTATGTGTAATGAATCTGTTTCACTTTCTGAAATGATTGACTTTTTTTTTTTTCACAATAGTCTAATTTTCAGAGCTGTACCTGTATTTAAGTGCTCCTGCCTTCTCTGGGCCCTTTTCTTTCATATTTGCTGTCAAAACGCACCCAACTGTGAAATAAGCTCTCTCTCAATGAAGATGATAGCAGCACAATGTGTATGTGTCACCTTTTGTGATCAGAAAGCATGTGTTCATGCCATGCAGTATTCTCAGTCTTACCCTGAGGACTGTGGTCCCTGTGGGTTTTCTCCAGTTCAAAGGCCCTCTCTCTCCACTTCTCCTCCCTCTCGTCTCTGAGTCTTTCTAGGCCTTTCGTTTCCTCACCCTCCCAGGATACTTTGTGGGCAGGGTTGTTCTCAGAGCAGTAGGTCGATGCCAAGGGGATATTGGGTGCCACGCTGCACACCGCAATGCCTCTCCTGGTGGTCAAACCTCGGACATTAGACCCGTCTGAGAGGAAGCTGCTCATCTGGAGAGATGAAAATAAAACAAGCAAAAGGCTTTTTTAAAAACATTATGGTGATAACTTCTATTTTGAATCCACTTTATAAAAAGGCAAAAGGAAAAGAAAACTATTCCTGTTTCTTTTCTTATAACACTTCTTATATACTGTAGGTTTAATTTATTGGAGGTGGGATAGCGTCAATGATTGGATTTTGTCCTTGTTTTTGCTCAGGTGATGAAGAGACTAACAGTTCAGGACAGACCAGAATCCCTGTGCACTATGATGTTTGCAGATGACATTGTGATCTGTGGTGAGAACAGGGAACAGGTGGAAGAGAACTTGGAGAGGTGGAGATATGTACTTGAAAGAAGAGGAATGAAAGTCAGCTCAGACAGAGAACATGTGTGTGAAAGAGAGACAGGCTGGTGGAACAGTGAGACTACAAGGAGTAGAGGTCACAAAGGTGCAGGACTTCAAGAGTGATAGTCTGCATTTATGTCAGTATTTTAGCCTCGTTATTTTATTAGATTTTTATGACTTTTGTGTTTATATTTCCTGTGATTCAGTTTCCTTAGTGTTTTTTTTTTTCTTCAGTAGTTCTGCTCCTGCCCCATCCACCTTTTCCTAGTTTGTCTCCTCATTAGGTGTTTATTTCTGTTCATTTGTGTTGCCCTTTAAATGTTCGCTCCTTCTGTGTTTTCCTCAGTGGATCAATGTCTCAATCCTCCCTGGATTCTCATCTGTGCGCCCAGCGTTTGTAGGCAGTGCTGGCTGGTTCTCCTTAGGAGTGACAAGAATGGATAAGATTCGGAATGAGATCATCAGAGGTACAGCACAGGTTGAACAACTGGGAGATAAAGTTAGAGAGGCCAGACTGAGATGGTTTGGACATGTCCAGAGGAGGGACAGTGGGTATACTGGTAGAAGGATGTTAGAAATGCAGCTGCCAGGAAAAAGACAAAGAGGAGATATGTGGATGCAGTTAGAGAGGACATGGAGGCAGTTGGAGTGAGGACAGAGGATTCAGAGGACAGAGATGGAGGAGGATGACTCGTTGTTTTGATGGCTGAAGAGGAACAGCTAGAAGAAGAACCATCACAAACCATTTATCTCCTGAAGACGAAACAATTTTTCATTGCTTGTGACTGTTTTTTGATTGTTTGTATCATTAGCATAATATCCCATAAACCCCTGTATGAATTTTAATAAGACTTTTAGAAAGTAATCACTGAACACACATCTAAAGCTGATTAACTTTCGGAGGTAATCTGATTAAGGATGGCCATTCCACCACTAGGCCACATTAGCAAACACAAAAATAGCTTTACCTTTGCCAGTTTTACATATATTGAGCTACAGTTGGGTGTGGCAGTAGCTGCGAGGCATCCTCAACACATGCTCAGAACACAGTCCACTGTGCAACATCTATTCTTAAAATGTTGCAGTTAGAATCAGTTCTGTCACTGACTTTTTTTTCCTCCCTTGCCCCTTATGACAGAAACATTATCATAAATCTTGGAGTGAAAATGGATCTTTGAAAATTAAACTGTCATACAAATGCAATAGTAAAATCCTGCTCCTTCCTGTTGAGGCACCTTTGTAAAATGAAGCCCATGCTGTCTAAAATAAATCTTGAGACATGCTTTTATAACATCACAGCTTGATCACTGCAATCTGCTTTTTTGCGGAATTAGACAGGATTTCTGTTGCTTGTTTGCAACTGGTTCAAAATGCCACAGCACAAGTTTTACCTGGTTCAAGAAAACACATCCTCACTAGATTTAGCTTCTTTTTCACTGGCTTGCAGTCCATTAACAAATGTATTTTTCTTTGCATTTAAGTCTCTTATAGTTTGTGCTCTCTTTCATTTCTCTGCACTTCTGCAGCTGTATGCACCACCATAATCTCTGAGGTTAGCAGAGCAGATGCTTTTATTGGTTCCAAGGAAAAAAATGTGAGCTCAGAGGTGACAGAGTTTGTTTTGATGCCTGTCCAAAAATCTGGAATGATTTGCCACTGAATTGATCTAGTTTAAAAATATACTTTTACTCCCTGACCTTTAACACAATGTGAGATTTTGACTTTAATCATATTGTTTTTATTTATCTTTTTTATTGTTTCATATGTACAGGTATATGTACGTAAAACTGATTGTTGCTTGGAGGGAACCCAGTTCAAGATGGTTGCCATGGCTTTTTGACCTTTTGTTAACACAATAAATATATGGTAACAAGAAGTGCTCGGAAAGCGTACACCCCCGTCAAAATGCTAAGGTCACTTATGAAGTAACATCTTGTGCACAGTCTGAAAATAATCCTTTAAAAATTCCTGAATCCAGATGGTGATCCAGATCAGCACCAACATTTAATTTTAATTTCTTTCTTGTGACAACCTCACCATTTCCTGAAAATTTAATTAAGACAGACAGACAGACAGGCAGGCAAACAGACAGATAGACAGGCAGACAGACAGACAGATAGACAGGCAGACAGACAAACAGACAAGCAGACAGGCAGGCAGACAGACAGGCAGGCAGACAGACAGACAGACAGGCAGACAGGCAGAACCTTTTTGTGAAGGTGGTAAAGATTTTCAGGTGGGTTGGCATTTTAGAAACTTTTACAGTACAACTTCAAAAGTACATTTTTCAATTCATTTATTCATTTTTTTTAGTAAAAAAAAAAAAATCCCATATTTTTAAGATCATCAGGGATTGTGGGCTTTAAACCCACTTTTATGCAACTCCGTATTGAAACCAGTGGCTACACTCTCGGTCATATTATGTTTGTCCTAATAGATGTTTGAATAAAGAAGAGTTGCAGCACATAATGCAGAAATAATTCACAGAAGAAGAGGTGGAGGGGCTTCAAAATATGGTTAGATAACATTTCTATCGACATAAAGATGTTGCTTCTTTGGTGAAGGAGGGTTCTTGTTTTATTTCATAACAAAAATGTAAGTTTTTTTTTTTTTTAAAAACAATAGAAAGACAAAGTGATACAATGGTTATTTTTTCATAAATAATCTGGTCAAAATATTGAAATTGAAATATTATATATTGAAATATTTGATTTTTAAAAATATTTCTCACTTTTAACAATGATTTTTCTTCTTTGTTAAACTGTAAAATTAATTCTGGTAAATTGATTTATCATGCGATGTATGGAAATAAATAGCACTCATAAGAGTTGCCAGTACACATTTTGGCACACCTGACTCCCTTCACTGGAAGTGGTCCTGTCGCCTTCAGCGCTCCTCATGCTCTGGTTTCCATGAGCTCCGGGGAGGACAGTAGGATTGGAGGCAGTAGGACGCACCATGACCTGAGGTGGGCCTCCCATGCTGCCTCCCACCTCCCCATAGATGCCTGTGGACTCTGGTGAACCCGATAAATGCACAGCTTTAAACTCGATTCCCTCGGCTCTCGCGCCACTCTTGTGCAGCATGTAGCTGCTTTCTGCAGAAACAGCTGAAAAGCCCATCGCAGACCCAGTTCCTGGTCCTGGATCCAACTCTTTCCTGAATTTGATTTTTTTTCTGAAAGCGATGAAGAGGATGACGAGGAAAACGATGACAAAGGCAAGGACTCCGATGCCTATTATCTCCCCTGGTCCGACGTACGACAGCGGCTCAGCCTGGGAGACATGATAAGAAAAGTTACAAAAACATGGACTCAGCATTTCCTGCTCAGTGTAAGAAAACAGTCAGTGGCTGCTGCAGGCAGAGGAATGTTAGGACTGAGGGAGGTTTCATGAGAAGGAACCACTTCAGAAAATGATCTTATATGTCTAACTTGTCTAACGGTATAAATTGAGCAAATTATTTTGAAAAGCAGGTAACACCTTGAAGGGATAAATCAGATGTCTTGAAGTTGGGTTATTTGGAAAGGTTATGAACAAATACTATCTTACTTGTAGATAGCACTTTAAATGAACTCCGTTTGGAGAAACAGAACTGAACTTTCATCGGCTACAGAAAGTGCAGAGGCAATCTGTGAGTGAGTCTGTAGCATTAGCAAGATATCTTATGAACCACTGTGCATATTTTAATAAAATCCTCAGAAAGTAATCAATGGGTGTGCATCTACGAGTGGACTAAATTCAAGATAAGCTGCCACAGCTATGCAGTTTTAACAAACACAAAAAGGCTATAATTCAGTCATTTGTAAATACGCTGAGCGAACGTTTGGTGTGGAAACGACTGAGCATTATTTCCAACACATACTTTGAACACCATATTTTGTGCAATATTTTAATTTCTAACTTTGGCATCAACTGTGTCATCGGTTGGCAAAATAATTCATGAACCACTGGTTGGAGTTTAATGACACTCCAAGAAAGTCATTACATATAATCCTGATTTATGTTCAATAATCCAGGTAGAAAAAACAACAAAGTTAAGTCAGGTCCTTTGGACGTTTTCTTTTTGTTGAAACGTTTTGTAGTTCATCCAAAAGACTTCATCAGTCCAAGGAGCCACAACAAACTCAGTCTTATAAATAGCACCTTCTCATAGTGAGTCAACCAGTTTGATGGTGCTCAGATGGTTTCTGGAGTCCGCCCTCTCCCCCACTGATTTGTTTGAGGCAGTCATGGGCAAAGTGGTTCAAAACATCCTGATTCACAATCAATAATCTATCATAATGGATGGCCAATAATCTTTGGCCATGCCTGCCTCAAACAAACTGGCGGAGGAGAGGGCGAACTCCAGAAACCATCTGAGCACCATCAAACTGGTCGACCCACTATGACAAGGTGCTATTTATAAGACTGAGTTTGTTGCAGCTCCTCAGACTGAAGAAGTCTTTTGGATTAAAAAAAACGAAACGTTTCAACAAAAATAAACCGTCCAGAGGACCTGACTTAACTTTGTTGCGTCATTACATATACCGGTACTTCTACAATTGATTCACGTTCAGAGAAATCTTAATTCAAGATGGCTGTCACAACCTAAGGACCTTAGTCAACACAAAAATGCCTTTAATTCTAAACTAAAGGTAAATTTGATGTGTTTGTGGCTGGGAGTCATGCTCAAAATATTCTCTGAGTGCTAACACATCTCAACATCTCACAATACCACAAAAGCAGTCATTTGCAAGATTTGACTAAAATGACTGTAACTCCATCCCTTCCGAGTTTAAACTGATTTTAGCTCAAAGCTCTGGCATGGAATTGTCCTTCAAGAAATGCTAGGTCTTTTCTTTGAACCAGACTGCCTTGTATTAATGAGATCAGTGGATTGGTTCATAGACTTTCTGCAAAATCTGTCTTCTAAGGCTGCTGTTTAATATATTGTATTATTTTACATTATTAGTGTATGGCTTAGATCCTTGTATACTGTTTCTTTTATACTTAATATTTTTGCTTCTTTTGGTTGTAACTGGGACCTTGACTACACAATTTTGTTCTGTCATGTACCACATGTGATGCGAATGACAGTAAAGAACCTTGAACCTTAAAAATCTGAAATAACCCTTTAAAACAGTTTCTCCATCCATCCATTATCTTTACCCACTTCTTCCTTTGTAAAACATATTTTTGTAATATAGTAAGTAAATTATATGATCACTACTGTAGAGAATTTAAAAACAAGTTTTGTTCGTGAAGTGAGAAGGAACTCAGGAATGTCATTAATTCTTGAACAAATGAAACTTGTGATAAAAAAAAAAGTAAAAGTAAAGGAAGGTGAAAAAAAGTTGAGGTTTTCAGCATTTTTTTCTAGAAACAGAGGCCCTCATGAGTGCACACACAGTTAGTGCCGTTTGGTTGTAAATGCATCGTCTGATTACTTTTCTGCTACTTATTCAGTTAAATTATATTCAGTATATATAATATATATAAATATATATATATATATATATATATATGGCACCAAATCCCAACAGAAGTCATCTCAGGGCACTGCACAGAAACATTCACATACATATAAAGTCAGTTAAGTAATAACATTATTTATCTAAGGAGCCAACTTATGGCCTTCAGGTGAATGACGAAGCACATTCCATCTAATGTGCAACTTCTAATGAGTTTATGCTGAAAAGCAAAGGTGGGCTTTTGACATACTTTACAGTTTTTTAATAAGTTCCCCTTTTTACAAATTAATTTAATTAATTTTATAATTAAAAAAAAACACCCCTGCCTTATATAAAGTCTTATAACTGTTGCTGTTTGTCTGAGTAAAAACATTTCAGTTTAAGAAAACCTTTATGTGATTGTTCTAAACTTGCTTTTTGTTGAAGCACATATTTAAAAAGGAGATAAACTCAGTTCTGCATCGAGCAAAAAACCGAAACTATAATTTTTTTTTTTTTTATTCTGAAACAGATTAAAGATTTGAACTACTAACAGACTACCAAATACAGTGAAGAGAGACAAATGTGTAGAAAACAAATTGTGATCAATGAGGATCTTTGTGGAAGCTTATTAAATTTTGTGCAAGATTAAATGGATTTAACAGAAAATTGCTTTAAAGAGGAGGCGCTCATTCAAACTGAACAAACTGGAGCAGGTTTCACGTTGGGAAAGAATTCCAGTTGCCAGACGTGCAGAGCTCGTGGAGACAGACCTGATGGGTCTTGCTGCTGCAACTGCTTGATAAAGGTGCCTTGAAAAAGTGTTCACATTGAGGGAGTGAATATATATATGTATATGCACCCACAACTTTTTAGCTTTATATCTATTAAAACTTTTAAAAAAAATTTAACATCAATAATCTAAAGTAATAAAAAAAAACTATAACACAATTAAAAATCCAATTCAAATCCAGGATGCGAGGCAAGATAAATGAAAAACAGAAGTAGTGAAGAGGGAGAATGCTTCTGCTTCCAACTGTTTCCTGAGGGATCATCGTGTGGATGTTTATGAAGCGTTCACATGGTTGTGATCCATTTTTCTTCTGTACATTTTTCTGCATCTTTCTCATTCCACAATTTTTGTGCTATTTCAACAAATCATATATCAAAACATTCAGCTCGTTCAGGAGAAGGGTGCTATGAATTTGGTATTGGTGCAACTTTAGTGTTTTGAAATATTTAGCCTTTTCTGAAATTTTTGTCTAATAGAAAATGAATTGAGCTCATTTTACATCGTTCCGATCTTTAGATCTGTTTACAACCGTTTATTGTTCCTTTTACATTTTATTCTGGTTTAGCTTCTTTCAGCTTCCTTGTGCAAATAGTAAAAATACATTTTAAATCAGCTACTTTCAGCTAATATCAGCTGTTTTTTTCAGCTGTTTTGTGCTTCTTTCTGCTAAATACAACATGTATGTGCTTTTTCTAACTTGTTTAGAAAAAAGTTAGAAGAAGCACATACATGTTGTAGTAATAGAAATGTTACTTTCAGCTTGATATGCTCCTTTCAGCTGATTTCTGCTAGGTTCAGCCTTTTCTGCTATTTCAGATAGTATTTAGCTGTTTTATTCAAATTTTAGCTTTTTTTAGCTAAGTCCATATTTGTTGCACACATTTCAACTTTTTTCAGCCCAAATCATAAAAAAAATGTGCTCTCTCTACTTCCTTTGGTAATTTAAGCTTCTGCCTTTTTAGCTACTTTTCAGCAAGTGGGTTTTATTTTTTTTAATTTTTTTTTGGGGGGGGGGGTGCTAATTTCAGCTTTTTTCAAATAATTTCCACTTTTTTTGTGCTAATTTCTGCTTCTTTCAGCCTCACTAACCAAATATGTTCTTTTTGCTTTCTTCTGCTAATTTAAGCTTGTTCTTCATTTTCAGCTATCTTTTTAGCGTTTAGCAAATTTCAGTTGTTTTCAGATAAATTCTAGTTTTTCGTGGTAATTTCTGCTACTTTCAGCCTAATTAACTTATTTCTGCTAATTTCAGCTTGTTATGCTAATTTCAGGTTTTTCTTCAGAATCTTCTGCTATTTCTCCGTTTAGCTCTTTTATGCTAATCTTAGCTTTTTCATCTAATTACACATTTTTTTTGCTCTTTTCAGCTCTTTCTGCTTCTTTCTGATTCTTTTAGCTTTGTTTTGCATTTCAGCTACTTTTCAGCTGTTTATTTTTCATTTCAGCCTTTTTTTAATCTAATTTCCTAATTTTTGTGCTCATTTCTTCTTATTTAAACCAATTCTGCAAATATTTGTTCTTTCTGCTTTCTTCAGATAATTCAGACCTGTTCTTCTATTTCAGCTACAACTCAGCATGTTATTAGCTAATTTCAGCTGTTTTTCTGCAAGTTTTTCAGCAATAAACATTCACACTGCATTTTCACAGGAAATGCAATTTCTTTAGTTTTCTTTGTATCAGTTACTTGGATTTTAGTCAGAAATGAAAGAAAGTTGAAGGCAAACAAAAAAGTATGGAGGATTACTGACTTTAAATCCAGCTGAGAGATACTTGCCAAAACAATGACAAGAAGAGTATCAGCAAATAAACAAAGGAGTGGCTTCAGAACTCTGCCAAGGTGACATGGCCCGTGTCTGAACCTGATTACATAAATGACCAAAACACACACACACAAAAAAAGAAATCTACAAAATTAATCTGTCAATCTTCTGGAGTCTTCACCACATATCTAAGGGATGTATACCTGGATTATTGAGCATGGACTTTGTTGGTATCTAATGGATTAAAATAGCTGCTGACAGTTCTTAAAACCAGCACTTAAACAAAAGCTCTACTTAGTTTTTTTCAAAAGTTCAGAGAATACATCCAACACCTGTTTCATCCTCTGAAAAGATAAGAAATTAATGAAACAAATCCATTTCACACTGAGACTGACTCATTCAACGTTGTGCAGGAAACTTGAAAGGCCCTGAAAACTTCCTGTGCACGGTGTAACCATAATAAAAGTCACAAGCATGACAACTTCAAATGGAAATCATAATTTACTCATTACCACACCCTCCTTCAACGAGTGTGAGGACAAGCTAGTGGATAAGCCTTCCAAGAGAGAATGAAAAAAAAAAATCTCAATAACTCCACTTTGCAATTAAAGTTCAATTAACCACAAGTTTAATTTTTTTTGCATATTTTCCATCCAGTCCAACTTTGAGTGTCGTTAAAACTACCTGTGTGTCATCCCCGAGGGTCTGGTCGTCACACAACTGACCCTCGTATCCTTCTGAGCAGTTGCAGGAGAACGAGCCGAAAGTGTTGACGCACTCGCCTCTGTTTCCACAGACGTCCTGCTCACACTCATTTACATCCACGTCACATCTGCCGAGGCAAAGACAAAAACATTACTATGCACAGGAGCAATGAGGAGGGTTTGTTTCAAAGTGAGTAAGAAGAATGGAGGAGCATGACGGTGCAAAAAAAAAAAAAAAAGAAAATAGAAAATCATCTTTTAAGACGACTTCTAGTGTTAAATCAATGGGATTATCTTTATATATCCTCCATTATCGTTAGTTATATGGCTGTAAATCAAATAAATATGCTCAAACACAAAAAGACTCTAAATACCAACACAAAAGTCACAAATGCAGTTCTCTCTGCTCATTTCGGATTTTTATTTCAAGCCAGAAATAAGTCCTGACATGAAGGAGGAAATGTATATGAGGGTCCGTTTCTATTTATTTTTCATTACGGAGACTTTTAATATTTTACAAGAGGTGTTGTTTTTCTGATTAACAACCAAAAAATTAAAAATTAAAAATAAAAATAAAAAGATTTTCACATGCATATGCATGTTTTTCTTCTTAAAAAGAAAACCCTGCAATGAGCAATATGAAGTTCACTTTCAAAAATCTTGATGTGCTGCTGTGTAAATCCCTCTTATACATTTTTGAATGAATATTGATGAAATTCAAATCAGATTCATTTTATTAGTCAGGAGGCCGGACTATGATGAACTGTGGGCAGCTGGATTTGACAGATATTACTTTTTTGGGCAACATCTAGTATTAGTTTTGATTCTTGCTTAACTGATGATGGGAACTGAAAAAGAAAGAAATCTTTATAAATGTTGCACATTTTGTTTAATTCAACATGACTGTGTTTTTTAGCTTGAAACGATCTAAAGCATTTTTTTCCTCTGAAGGAATGCTGCCTTCTAGTGGTGGTTTTACTGAACAACACGGCAGCGCAGAGGTTATTTAAAAGGTCATTACTGAGCTGTATTTAAGAAGGCAGAATAAGAACGATTACAGGTTTTCAAATTATATTAGAAACATAAATTTATTCCTCACAATAAGTAAAACAAACAACTGTGGGGTCTTTTGAACACTAATGGGAGCAAATGAACATGTGTTTAGGTAGAGACAAGTGATTATTCAACTGTATGTTTGTATACAATGGATAAAAAAGGACAATTTATTTGTTAACATTGTTGTTATAGTCAAATATGAAATGTTTCTTGAGTGTAAAGGAGTGTGCATGTGTGTGTTTACTGCATTTTATTAGTCTTACATAAGTCCCGTGAGTCCTCCAGGACAACCACAGAGGAACGGACTGCCAACTGGCTCGCAGTCGCCACCATTCTGACAGGGGTTTGGCATGCAGGATGTCAGTTCAGTTTCACAGTGCCTCCCAGTGAATCCACTGCCACAACTGCACATGAAGCCTGTTGGAAAGAAAAAAAAACCCATAAAGTGTGCCATATTAACTGACATAAAGATATTGACAAATAAAATAAAATTAAACCATTTCAGGACAAGAGTGGCATTGCTTTTGAGTAATAAATCAATGTTCGTGTTTTACAAATAAAAAAAAAGTGCAATCATGCGTAAATCAAGAAAAAATTGCGTTGAATAAAAACAATAAGTAAAAGGTTGCTACTTATGATGATACATTTTTAAATCATTTATTTATACAGTGGCAGCACAGTGGCACAGTTGGCAGAGCTGCTGCCTCTCAGCAAGCAGGTCCTGCAGGTTCAAATCCCAACCTTTCTGGGTAGAGTTTGCATGTCCTGTCTGTGCATGGTGGGTTTTTTCCGGGTACTCCGGTTTCCTCCCACAGACCAAAAGTTAGACTGATTGGTAACTCTAAATTGTCCCTAGGTGTGAGTGAGAGAGTGAATGGTTGTTTGTCTCTATGTGTCCCTGTGATGTACTGGAGACCTGTCCAGGGTGTCCCCCCCCCCCCCCCCCCCTTCGCACTGTGATGGCTGGACATGGGCACCAGTGACCTCCATGACCCGAAAAGGAAGAAACGGATAAAGATAATGGATGGATATTTATACATCCCATTCGGAGTCATTTTGTTTATGCATACCTCCAGAGGGCAAGCTGATGCAGACAGCTCCGTTGAGGCAGGGCGGACTGATGCAAGGATCTGGGTAAAGAACACAACCCAACTTGACCTCGCTGAGTCCGGCTATCTCAGCGTAACGGCTCCTCTTGTTTTGAAGGGGCAGCTCATTACCATTCAGGGCCAAAGAGCCCAGGCAGCCCTGGAAGCCGTCCTGAGCTCTTGGAGGTCCCCTCGCTCCACGGTCACCAATTCTTGGCCCTCCCATTTTTCCTTCAAGTTCAGGGCTGGGTACCTCCCCCTGGCCATGTGGTGGCCTCACTTGGGCTCCAAAGAAAAAAGATGAATCTGGAGCCAGAGGCCATAGACGGACAGGGGCCTGGGTTGCTCTGCGGCGTTCCACATAGCTGTCGTCCAGTGACAGGAGGGTGTAGTTTCTGGTCAGTTCCAAAGACACTGAATGCCAAAGACCATCGTTTATTGGTCTGTCAGAAATACCCATTATGCCTAGGGTGTTGTCACAGTGTATCTGGAACCAAAGTCGACCCTCTTCAATCTGGAGCAAAGAGGATAGTTTGAGTCAACTGTTTAAAATTTTTATTTTCTGTTGCAAACAATTTTCTGTGTACAAAGTTGTGGACAAAAAAAAAAAAAACGTGTTGGCTGAAGTCCGAACATTTGTTTACCTTGAGCATGGTGCAGGGGTTAGCACGTGTAAACATAATGACTCCCCGTCGCTGAAGTGTTCTTATCCTCAGGCTCAACTTCATCTCTCCACTCTGGTCACTCTCTGTCACTCTGTACTTGATGTAGCCGTTTCCAGAGAAACTCAAAGAGGTCCGTCCTGCTCATTGACAGAACACAGAAACAGAAGTGAAATACCAGCACCTGCAGCTGCACGTTTGACCATTTTAAATTAGATCTATTGTAATCTAACTGTCCACGTAGAATATGTAGAAGAAATGTTTCAATAAGGAGTATGATAGACCCAGACCTGCACATTCATCCAGTTTCACAGGCTGACACTGGCAAACAGATGGCGCTGTAGGACCAGAGCGGACACATTGCATATCTGCAGGACAGGACTGACCTTCACAAAGTTCCAAAGGAGTTGGACATGTCCCTCCTGTTGTTGTTTTTATTTAACAAGACAAAAACATGCAAACATAATAGAAAAAATAAATGAGTAAAGGCATAACCAAAAAAACAAGTCATTTAGATTTAAAGTGATAAACAAAAAAAAGCCTTTCTGTTGCTTGGTTTTATGTATAAATAAATAAATATATATACTTGTGTATATATATATATATATATATATAATATTTACAAGAAAAACTGTGTTAACTGTAACAGTTTAGAGTGAAAGCTGAGTGTGATGGGTCAAGTGATCAGAATGGAAGCAAAAAGCTAAAAGTAGTAACACATTGGTAAAAACTAAAAGTACTAGAGTGATAGCTAAAGGTAACAAAAGCCGTAGCTAAAATCTTAATGTAGCAATGTAAAAAAAAAAAACTAAAATAGAGCAACTGTGCTGAAGAGAAAAATATTTTAAACTAATAAATCTTTTTTTTTCCTTGCAAAACTTTATTTCAAATGAATACTAAATACTTAACAAAACTAATAAAAACCTTGAAATGTATACATTTACAAAAGCCAAAAGTCATAAACATTGTTTTCTTTGCTAGACTGTAGTTGGTTTCACCTGGGCAGGTGCAGGTCTCTTTACGTCTGAATGTTGGCAACACCAAGCCGATCCTCTCTGTGCTGTAGGTAACAGGCCAGCCACTCTCCATCACAAGAGTGTTTTCACAAACCCGATCCCCACAGTCCAGTTCCCCAGAACAAGTACTTCCCACCAAAGCAGCTCCAGCCAGGACGCCTCTCATCTGTCCTCGAGCCGCGGCCTCCTCCAACTTTGCCAACATCTCTTGCTGGGAGTAGAAGCCCTCCATCTGGCTGCCTCCTGAGTTCTCTGGCTTCTCCATAGCCAGAACCAAATCGATGTCTGATGTACCCACCACTGGCTGCACACCAAGTATGTGAAAAGGGTCCTGTTGCCCTGGTGACCATTTCCAGTCACTTAGTGCCCGTAGCGTTAACCTTATCTGGCTTAGGTAGCGACTGAGCAAATCTTCCACCGATAAAGAGCTGAAACGTAAGGTCAGGGCACTACTTAGCAATATGTCTGTCACTTGCTCCACTTGCACTGACACATCAGCAATTACGGCAAATCGTCCATCGCTCACTGTTGCATTTATCTGATATCTGAAAGAAACCAAGAGAACGACATTTAATCTATAAAAGTGTTCCATATCATATTGCCCTTTGTGTTTGTGTGTTGGGTTTGTGCGCATGTACCTCCCAGGTTCAAGGCCTGACAGAGCAACAATGCTGCCATCTTGTCTGTTGAGCTTAAACATGCTCTTTGGCTCGGGCTTCTGAGTAAATGACAAGACGTCGTTGGGATCGCGGTCGGTTGCAAAGATCTGACCAATTGAACCACCTGGAAAAGTATCTGTTAACATTACAATGAAGATTTCCAGAGGGGAGACTGAGGGCTTGTACTGACTGTTCCCAAGGACTCGCAGAAATACCCAAGAAGAGGAGGTAAGACTTGGATTACCAGAGTCACTAGCCTAGGACACCAAAGGAAAAAAAAACATAAAACATATCAGAATCATAATAAGCTTTATTATCATTGCAACGAAGTACAGTGAGATTATGTCTGTACAGTTGTTGGAAAGATGGGCGGAGTGCACGTTGCTGCTGCTCCTAAGAGTGCGGCCCTTTATTCTTTAGATGGAAAAGGGGAAAGGCCATGAGGAAAGGATAGTGGTATTACAAAAAAGATCTCTTCATACCTTGTCCTCGTCAGGACACGATTTAAGACATAAAAAAACTCTACCAGCAAACACATTTATAAACACATTACATATGCATTTGATGACAAGACAGTGAGATTTGTCCATGAAGCACTTTCAGATAGCACCATAGTCCTGATAAGATGTTGGTGTCAGCTGGTAAAGCTCTGATAAGTGTTCACAGAAGTTCTTAGGGGGTGGGGAGGATGGACAGAGCAGAGCCTTCTTAGTCTGTAGGGTTTCTGGGGTCTTGTCTTACATGTTGTGTTTTCCCTCATGTTTGCCTGTCACCCCTCAGCTTTTCTCCTACTGTGTTACAGCACTGTCGCACCTGTTTTTTAATCCTAATCACCGCAGGCGTCACTCATTTCACCTTGTTAGTGTCTGTATATATTCAGCCCCTTGGTGTCTTGTGAGTGTCTCTGGATTGTCCTTGTCCTAAGGCTTCATGACCTGTCTCTCCTCGTGTCCTCCTTTAAGTAAGTTAGCTGCCCCGTCAGCATTTTGTTTTGTTTATTTAATTAATAAACTATTTTACTTATTTACTGGAGCCTCATTTGTCTTCCTGCACTTTGGGTTCTACACATGGAAGCCGATCATGATATAGTCAACACATATCCCAGGAGAAATTTGATAAGTTGGCCTGATTCAAGGCCGAACGGGGGAGTCAGATTCATATAAGCCACAGTTATGAAAACATATGAAGTAATATCAGCAAAAAGAACAATAGTTCCACACCAATGTATCTCACAATCTTAATTAGCTTTGTAGAGATCTAGTAGAGTGATGGGTAAATGAGGACACAGATTGTAGTGTAAAGTGTTTGAGTATCTTGAAATAAGATAGAAAGCCACTATATAAGTACAGAACATTTACCATTTACAATGTGCATTTCAAATTCAGCTTACCTGGATTTCAACACTAAATTCCCTGGGTGCTTCAGGACCAAACACACGATTGGACTTCAGAGTTCCAGTCTGGTCTAAACTGAAGAACCTCCCCTCGTTTCCTGACACTATGCGAACTACGAAGGGCGGACCGTTTCTAGGGGAGTCTTTATCGCTAACAGAGAGCTTCAGCAGGGTGGTGCCAGCAGCCTGATTTAACTGGAAGTACAGAAAAAGTTCAGCGAACCTAAAAACAAACAAAGACAGAAAATACAGCATGAAAACTCGTAAACAAACCTGTATGATGGCTGTAGAGTTGGGAGGAGAGAAGGCGGGAGGGTTGTCGTTAACATCGGAAATGTCTATGTTAACTGCAACAGTGGAGGACATGGCAGGAGAACCACTGTCGAAGGCCTGCACTGACAAAGAGTACCTGGATACCTGGAGAGTAAATGATAATAATTTTAAAAAGTGTCATATTTGTATGTGAACATCCATGTAACCGTATGAAACTTTGTTAACCTTAAAGTGATCATTCAGATCTTTTGAGGTGAGGTTCTGTAGAAAAGGTTATGAAGAATTAACATCATATCTGTTGTAGATATATCTTTGACTAACAACAGTTTGGAGAAATTAAGTTTAATTTTGACCAGATTGATGATGAGGCTCTCTTAGCAGGGCCAGGTCCAAAGGGGATTTTTTGTGATTAGTTCTTTCAGTTGATATTTTTGTCTTATTCTCTTTATAGTCCATGTTTTATTTTTCTGTCTTTTGGGTTCTGTTACTTGTGTTTTCATGTCACTTTAGATCTTAACCCCTTTGTGTTTTTGTACTTCACTGTTGGGTTTCTTTGAGTATTCTTGTACACGTCTTGTTCTGTTTTGTGGTGTTCCTTGTGCCATTTCTCATTCACCCTCAGTCAGCTTCCTCAGTGTTCTTTCCAATTAGTCTTCCACCCTCACCTGTCTCCAATCAGCTCAGGTATTTCTATTTTCCACTTGTCTCTGCTCTACTTATTCAGCCTCTGTTTCACCCCCCCATCAGTTCTGTATTGTTATGATTTCATGCCATCAGGTTTGTATTTCCATGTCTGTTTTTCCAGTGATCCTCTGAATTTTCCTGTTAGTGTAGTTTTGCTGCCACGTCAGCCTTTTTGTCGTGTATAAAAAAGCCTTTTATTTTATACTTAGAGTTTTACGTGATTCAGTCTGCACTTGGGTGCAATCCACAAGCCCTACAAAACCATTTTCAATGGCAAAAATGTCAGTGTTTAATGTAAATGCTATTTTATAAACCTTCCGGTGCCATCACTTTTACATTACATGAGTATTTACATAAAATGTTATAGTTATTTTGAATTATAAACTTACAGTAGTTTTAGTTGTATACTGTAGTTATCTACTGCATGTATGATGAAAACTGTTTAAAACCTTTCTACAGAACTGCACAATAAGATTGATTGTTTTTCCTTCAATGGGTAGATTTTTTTTTTTTTTTACAAAGTTTAAAATACTAAAAAAAAAAATAATGTGAGACATAAATTTATTATTAAACAGCCCTTACTATTTCCCTGTCAAGCCTCTTATTGACTTTAAGCACTCCTGTAACGGGGTCGATCCAGAAGTGGTTGCTTTGGTCTCCTCTCAGAATAGAGTAAGTAATTCTTCCATTGACCTGGCTGTCCAGATCCTCCGCAAATACCTTCATAACACACATGCATTACAAAAAGAATACTCTAAAAATTACTGAAAAAAAACTGTAGAAATGAGGAATGAGAATAAAGACTTTAATGTTACCTTTGTAACTGTCTGCCCAACAGATGCATCCTCACTGATCAGTACATTGTAGATGTCCTGATCAAAGATTGGAGCATTATCATTGACATCCATGAGCTCAATAATCACCATGGTAGCAGTACTGAGAGGAGGGCTCCCACTGTCCCAGGCCTCCACAGTGATGTAGAAGTCCTTACACACCTCAAAATCCAAGTCATCAGCCACAGAAATGGAGCCTGCATGATATATTTAAAATCATTGTAATGGAGATGTTTGTTTTTTAGGGGGGTTGGGTTTCGTTTTTTTATGGTTGTATGTTTTTGTTTTGATCTGTTATTCACATAATCTTGAATACATCAAGCAACAACCATCTGCTCACCGAGTTTTTTGTCTACAATAAACTTTCCCAACTCATTCCCTGAGCGAAAGTTGTAAGTGATCTCAGCATTCGGTCCAATGTCAGCGCTTGTCGCCATCACACGTAGCACCTCTGTCCCAACAGCTACGTCCTCAGGGATGGTAACAGCATAGTCCCTCCTCTGAAACACTGGAGCATTATCATTCACATCCAGGACCAAAACTGTCAAATCGACCTGAAAAACACAGAGGAGTCTTATACTAACACGAAACATTAGTTTGTGTTTCTTCATGCTTATTCAAACAGCTCCATCACAGCTTTTCTATTCAGTCTTTATCACTATCACTCTCTATTCCAGTCACTGCACAATTACTAGACAAGCTATCTTAATTAAAATCTACCCTTTTTGTTTCTATTCTTTTTAGTAAACAAAATGTTTTTATCTATTTGCTTTTTTTTTTATTTAAGCTTATGAACAGACATAAAACTTGCATCTGTCACAGCACAATGTTGTGCATCAGAAACTTCAGGTGCTGAATATTTAGGACATAGTACAAACAGGACGGTGCACATTCCCATAGTCCCAATCATTACGTGCTCTAAAACATTACTACAAACTTGGCTTCTGTTAGTGGTTATGTAAAATTATCCATTCATCCACCCATTATCTTCTGCTTGTTTTGGAGTTGAGTCACATGGGCAACAGCTTAAGCATGGAGGCCCAGACAATTGTTTCCCCAGCCACCTCTTCAAGGTCTTCTAGAAGGATTCCAAGACAAGAAAGACAAGAGCTGGTCCAGTGTTCCACGACCTGGACGGAACACGCATCTGAGGTTCGTTGAGGTAAACAACACCCTACCTCCAATATACACAGCATTTCTAAAGGGCTGATTTCCCTACCACAGCCACCTGATAGTTTGCCAGAATCTCTTCTTGATCTCTTCTCTTCTCTGTGGAGTTAATCAAGAGTCTTTATCCAAGGCCTCACCAAACTCCTCCCACATTCAAGCTTTTGCCTCAGCAACAGCCAGGGCTGTAGCTCGATTGACTCCATACAACCTCATCTTAACAACCTACCTTACTTGAGGTGTCCACCACCGAGTCCAAGGACACTCACCACAAGAAACACTAACAACCTTACAGCTGCAGCTCAAGGCAGCAAACTCAACAATGGAGGTGCGGAGCATAGCCAACTCAGACTCAATGTCTCCTATCTCTGCTGAGATGTGGCTAAAGTTGGCTTGAAGGTGTGAGTTGAAGATCTTTCTGACATGTTTTTTTGACAGGTGCTCCCAGCAAACCCCCACTACACATTTGGATCTACTAGGTCTCTCTGGAATCTTATCCCTCCATCTGATCCAACTCACCACTGATGGTGATCAGTTGATAATTCAGGTCCTCTCTTCACCCAAGTGTCCAGAATCAGAATCAGAATAAACTTTATTGGCATTGCACAGAGATACAACGCGAATATGTATGTACAGTCGTCCGAAGATGGGCAGAGTGCACGAAGCTGCGGCTATAAACAATTAGCGCGGCCTTCTTATTCTTATTCAGAATAATATTTTGCTTAGATAAGAAAAGGAAAGAAAACATGAGGAGAGACGGTATAAAAAAAGATCTCTCACACCGTGTCCTAGATAGGGTACAATTTGAGGCATCAAAAAAACCTACCACAGCAAATCAACATAAACAGACGTTATACATTTACATACAGGCTGTGAACACATTGAATTTTTAAGGGAAAGTCGTAGCATAGTCCAGAGACCCCGCCCCCCAGTCATTGTCCAGATAAGAGGTGACGTTCATCTTCAGCTCAGTTGTGGTTCTGTTACATGTCCACGGCCTTGTGGAAGGGAGGGGTGAGGAAACAGTCAAAGCATCTTTGTTGTTTTCAAAACATTCCAGGAGGAGTTGAGATAAGTCCGGCGTCAAGGCCACAGTTTGGGTCAGGCAGAACTCATGAATTGTTGTTTCTGCCTTTAAAGTCTTGCTGTACATATTCTCTGATGGAAACTCCAAACAGCCGAATTGATCCTTTACTCCAAAAGTCGAGCTCACAGCTTCTCCAGATTATTCCACCATTCATGAGTGCTGCCATCACAGTCCTGATAACAGCTCCTCCAATTCCCTGTCACAGCTCCACATTCAGTCCGAGCACTGTCAAGCTTCAACACCTCCACACGAATTTGTAGACAACCAGATTTCACCAACCCAAACAGTAGGATCTAGTTGTCATCATGAATCCAATTTGCTCCTTAGAGGTCAGAGGGTCCTCCTTACCCTGACTCCTGTCGGGAGAAGTTGATCGATTTTGTTAAGAGACCAGCTGATCCTTCCAATTAAGAGGTATGCAGGAAAAAAAGAGGCTTTTTTAAAGGGTTCACAGGACAAAAGAGCGCAGCAGGGAAGCGGGTGGGGGGTGGAGGGGAGAAACACGTCCGGTTTCACCGTAGAATAGCAGGAAAAAAAAATATATAGGACAACAGTTCAGATGACACAACTACAAATTCTACCATTGATCTGCCTCCAACAGTGACCTGACTAGTGCAGAAGTCCAACAACAGAACACAGCTCAACTTCCGATCAGAGGAGCCATTTCTTCCAATCATGCCCCGCCAGGTCACATTGTCACTACCCACATGAGCACTGAAGTCCCCTAGCAGAAAAAAAAAAGTTCCCATATGGAGAAACTTCCAGTACTCATCCCACTAAGTACCCCAAGAAGGCTGAGCACTTTGAACTGCTATTCAGCACATTGGCACAAACAACAGCTAGAGCCCATCTCCCCAACCGAAGATGTAGGGATCTACACTCTCATTTACTGGGGGAAACTCCAACACACAAGCACCAAGCTAGTGGATTATAAGTAGACCCACACCGGTCTGGCACCTCGTATCATGGGTAACTACAGAATAGAATAAAGTCCAGTTGCTTTCAAAGAAATTGGTTCCAGAACCCATGTTGCATGTCAAGATGAGTGCAACTATATTTAATTGGTACATCTACAACTCACACACAAGCAGGCTCCTTCAGGGGTAACATTCCAAGTTCCAAGAGCCAGATTTGGTAAGCCAGAGTCAGAGCACCAAGGCCCCTGCCTTCAGCTACCACTCATGGTACTATGCATGGTGGGGTGGGGGGTCCACAGGAAGGTAAACACATGTTACTCATTCAGGCTAAGACTAATTGGGCCCCATGGCTAGAGACTTGGTCAACAAGTGCTTGACAATGAATCCCTCCCCCAGGGCTTGGCTCCAGGTTAGGACCCTGGTAATTCACAGCACATTGAGCTCATTGCTGTTGTTGTCACTCCCATCCATCCATCCATCCATCCATCCATCCATCTATTCATCCATCCATCATCCATCCATCTATCAACTTCTGCTTGTTCAGGACTAGGATCATGGGGGCAGCAGCTTAAGAAGGGATGTCCAGACATTCCTTTCTCCATCCACCTCTTCCAGCTCTTCTGTATGGACTCCAAGGTGTTCCCAGGTCAGCTGAGAGACATAGTCCCTTCAGCATGTCCTGGGTCTTCCCCTGGGTCTTTTCCAAGTCGGACATGCCCAGAGCACCTCCCTATGGAGGTGTATGGGGGACATCCCTACCAGATACCTGAACCACCTCAAATGACTCCTCTCAATGTGGAGAAGCAGCAGATCTACTCCTAGTCCCTCAAGGTAAATGAAATTCTACCTACTATCTCTAAGGCAGAGTACAGCTACCCTGTGGAGAATACTCATTTTGACCACTTGTATCCACAGTCAAATTCTTTCAGTCACTACCCAGAGTTTGGTGCCATATGTGAGGGTAGAAATGTAGATGCACTGGTAAACAAAGCGATTCACCTTACAGCTAAGCTCCCTCTTCACCACAACAAATCTGCACACAATACTGCAGATACTGCACCAATCCTTATGTAGATTTAAGGCTCCATTATTCCTTCATTCTTGAACAAAACTCCAAGATACTTGATCTCCTCCACTTAAGGCAGAACCTCACTCACAACCGGGAGGGCAATCAACATATTTCTGACTGAGGACCATGGCCTCAGTTTTGGAGGTGCTGATTCTCATCAGAACTACTTTATACGTACTCAACTGCGAACCACTCCAGTGAGAGCTGAAAATCACGGCATGATGAAGCCAACAGGACCACATCAACTGCAAACATATAAGATGTAATATAACAGTCCTGCAACATCCAGAGCCTTGAGGAACTCTGGGCAGATCACATCCTCCCGCAGAGCTCAATTGCTGTGGAACTTTTATTCTACCTTGGTGACCTCAGCCTCCATTATGGACATACCAACCTAAAGTGTCCCAACTCACATTCCTCCTGACTCACATTCCTCCATGAAAAATGTGCCGGTGGGACTGAAAAGGTCAAAGAAGTATTCCTTCTGCCTCCCAAAGACATTAATGGCTCCAGTATAAGCCACTGCATGTTCATGCGGCTGAATAATGTTAAACTGAATAACTTTATTTGTCATGTTTCAGCTCTGAACTTAACAGTTACTCCAGACTGCTCCTGTTAGCAGCACATTTGAATATATTTCTGGTTTTAAATAAAGAAGAATATATTGAACAGCATTTCAGTATCCTCATTGTTTGTGAAGAAAAGTTGATATGTCATTATAAAAAAAATATTGGTCAGTAAAAATCATGCTGGGAAAACCTAGGTGGAATTGGTTTATTTTTACATTTCAACCCCAGAACTGCATCATTTTTAGAGGATGTTCACAGTTTACTACTCAGTTCTAACCCTCGAGCTGTTAACAATGTGACATTTATTTGTGTACGTATGTGTGTAGGAGAGGGGGTCGGTTGAAAACACACCGTTACTTTGTACTAACCTCTGAGGACAATGCTCCTTGTTGCCCAATTCTGTCAGTAGCTTGGACACGAACACGATAGAAGTCTTGACTCTCTCTGTCCAAGGATTTCTCTAGAATCACTATTCCAGTCACTGGGTCGATGGAGAACAAGCCATCAAATGATTCCACCAGAGAATAGACAATTGTACGGTTCAGACCTGGATGAGACAGATTTTACAAAATGTCTGTGACACATTTTTTACACACTATTTCTTTCTTTGGTTTATGTCTGTTTTCGTGTTTTCTATTTGCTAAAATAATTTTTTTGAACCCATGTTTTCCAACTACAATTGCACCAGCTCACCTTCATCGGGGTCACCGGCTTGCAGCCGGGTAAGCAAGGCCTTTGGGGCAGCATTCTCGAACACACTCGCTAGGTAATGAGTGGAGGAGAACGAGGGAGCATTGTCATTCACATCCAACACTTTGAGAGAAATGTCAGACCGGCAGAACAGCCCTCCTCCGTCAGTTGCCTGAGCGATGAGTTTATAGGCCGGAGTTTTCTCTCTGTCCATCACAGTGGCTGTTCGCAATTCACCTTCAGATGCAAAAGAAAAGCTGCTAGAAGAGTTGTATAAATTTAGAGTAATTTTTACTTTTCCATAAAGCTGTTCAAAAAAATTAAGTACCCGTGTTAGCATCCATGTAGAAATCTTCCACCCCAATGCCAAACAACGAATACTGGAGCTCAGCACTGGAACCTGAATCAGCATCTGTTGCACCCACTGTTAGGATATCCTTGTTGATAGAAATGTCTTCAGGAAATGAAGCACTGTACACCACCTGAGGCAACCCAGAAAATTTTACTTGTTCAAATAGAATATAAACAAATAGCTACAAGTGGAAAATAAATACTTACCGGGTATGTACAGTGGCGTTTGAAAGTTTGCAAACCCTTTAGTATTTTCTATATTTCTGCATAAATATAACCTAAAACATCATGAAAGTTTTACACAAGTCCTAAAAGTAGATAAAGAGAACCCAGTTAAACAAATGAGATGCAAATATTATACTTTGTCATTTATTTACTGAGGAAAATGATCCAATATTATATATTAATGAGTGGCAAACCTATGTGAACCTCTACGATCAGCAGTTAATTTGAAGGTGAAATTAGAGTCAAGTACTTTCAATCAATGGGATGATGTGAGTGGGCACCCTGTTTGATTTAAAGAATAGGGATCTATCAAAGTCTGCTCTTCACAACATGATTGTGGAAGTATATCATGAAACAAACAAATGAGTTTCTGAGAACATCAGAAAAAGAGTTATTGATGCTCATCATGCTAGAAAATGTTACAAAAGCATCTCTAAAGAGTTTGGACTCCACCAATCCACAGTCAAACCGCTTGCGTATAAATAGAGGAAATTCAAGACCATTGTTACCCTCCACAGGAGTGATGGACAAACAAAGATCACTCCAAGAACAAGGTGTGTAATAGTCGGCTAGGTCACAAAGAATCCCAAGATAACTTTTAAGCACCTGAAGTCCTCTATCACATTGACTGATGTTGATGTTCATGAGTCCACCATCAGGAGAACACTGAACAATGGTGTGCATGGCAGGGTTGAAGGAGGAAGACACTGCTCTCCAAAAAGAACATTGCTGCTCATCTGCAGTTTGCTAAAGATCACGTGGACAAGAAGACTGTTGGAAGAATGTTTTGAAGATGGATGAGACCAAAATATAACTTTTTGGTTTAAATGAAAAGTGTTAAATTTGGAGAAACACTGCAATCCTGCATAAGAACCTTATCCCATCTGTGAAATATGGGGTGGAGTATCATGGTTTGGGCTTGTTTTGCAACTGATCAGCAGTTACTGGAGACATTTAGTTGCAGTTATTGCTGCACGGTGGGTCACAACAGATACACTAAGCAGAGGTTCACTCACTTTTGCCTCTCACATATATTTAATATTGGATCATTTTCCTCAATAAATAAATGACCAAGTATAATATTTGTATCTCATTTGTTTAACAGGGTTCTCTTTATCTACTTTTAGGACTTGTGTGAAAATCTGATGTTTTAGGTCAAATTTATACAGAAATATGGACATTTATAAAGGGTTCACAAATTTTCAAGCACCACTGTAAAACCATTAAAAAATACAATCAACTAGGTGTTGCATCCATTATCCTTGTTGTCAGAACAAGGTCAACAAAGTTAGGCACCCTTTTCTGACCCAGCATCCATTCCCTGCCAATAACTGCCTCTGGAAATAAACTAAGTGACCACACAGTTTTTTTCAAACAAATGCACAACACAGATGCAACCGTGATACAACGATACAAATGTGCAATGTGTATGTACAATGTGTCAGACTGTGTGTCTTCCAGCTCCTTTATTGGTAAAAATGATCAAATATTATATTCAATATCTTAACAATACACACTGGAATAGCATTTAGTTTTAAAACCAGTCAATAAAAACAATGAGAAAATCCTGTTCATTTATATTTTCATCAATTTTTTTTTTTTTTATAAAAAATCTTTGTGTTTTGGATTGCTTACCAAATTCAGTACATTCAAGCAATCACCTTCACTAAATATTTAAGGTTGTACAATCAATTTCTCAATATGTTCTGATTTTTTAGACTAATTGAATGGCATGCCAAAGAAATACAGTATATGAATAATGAGCACATGTAACCAAAATAAATATTGTGAAAAAATGTATATATCATATGTTATTATATTAGAAATATATCTCACACAATAAAAAAAAAAAAAGTTTATCAATGCAACTAAGCGACCACAGTATTTAAGATGGTTAGCTTGTTTGAAAACAGACAGACCAGCAAAAGAGAGCAGGGAGAAACTCATTTAGCATATTTAGGATGAAAGTTCCTGAACTTATTATGTAAAAGTGAAAAAAAAATTCTGAATCTAGTCACAGGAAATATCCATAATATAGAAGCCATTTTAATTTGATTTATGAGCCATAATGGCTCCCATAAGAAAAAAAACATTTCCACAAGAATTCTAAGAAAAAATATTACTCCAACTCAACAATTTCCTTCCCATATATCAGTTTTTGCAACAAAATTAATGCAAACACTTGAACGGGTGTGAAAATCACAAAAAAGATACACTTCATTATTTTTATAATTGAAGATTGTCATTTAAAATGTAAATTATGTCGTTTTCTTTTTGTAACAGTGTTCTTTTTTCACCCATTACTTTTGTGTAAAGTCAGAAAAGTTGAATACAGTGGTCTCTCGCTACTTCGCGGTTTGACTTTCATGGACTCGCTACTTCGTGGTTTTTCAAATTAAGATTGGACATATGCAATTGGCTGATTGATGGATGAGCTGCACAATTGGTATGTATGTTTTATTTAAAATAAATTATTTTAAATTATATAGCACCTGCTGCACCTGTTTGCAGCCCAAATGTGCAGGGAGAAGCTCCCTCCTGCAGCATGTCTTCTGTGCACTTTTAGAGTGTTTAGAGTTTAGAAACATTGTTTAGAATATTGCAAGTGTGGGAAGGGTTTAAAACATCTTGTATATATATATATATATATATATATATATATATATATATATATATATATATATATATATATTCTACTTTGTAAAATAAACTAATACTTACTACTTGTACTACTATTCCTACTTGGCGGGTTTTCACTTATCATGGGGAAGCTGAGAACGGAATCTTTCACGATAAACGAGGGACTATTGTAATCGCAAAATGACTTATTAAAAACTCCAGCATATACTTTGAAGTAGATTATACATTTGATTGCTCCAATAGCTGGCATTAAGTTTGTAATGTAATGCACTGTAGGACAACTACATTTTAATTGAACAAATCCAATATTGTTTTTTTGCACCAAGTCATAAGTATGCTTATTTTAACTCTAACTAACAATTGTTTTCTGAACCAAGCAATCATTAAAAGTACCAATGGAAGGTAATCAGTGTGCAGATTGTGAACTAAACTAATCATTTGTCCATCAGACAATGAACAGCAATGTATGCATGTTTTAAATGAAGCAATTATTCTTCACCAACATTGCATTTTAACCAAAAACAGTTTTTTTTTTCACAATTTATTGACAATAAACGAAACATGAAACCTCTAAACCACTTTTAAATATCATTAATTGTGCTAACTTTACTTATGAATTGTGTGCACATTTCACATCTTGTCTGACCTGGTTGCAGATGGGACTGTTGTCGTTGGCATCCATGACGGTGACCTCCACTGCAGTGTGAGCGATAAATAGGCCGTCGCTGGCTGTAACGTTAAGCAGATACCAGTCCTGCTGCTCGCGATCCAGCAGCCCGCTAACAAAAACCTTCCACTCCCCCTGCACGAGCGTAAGGCCAAACACGCCGCGTTGATTTCCACCTGGACATTTTTTTTTAAGTAAAAAAAAAAAAAACAGGATGATGCATAGTAGCAGATGTGAACAACCTAAAACTAATTTACAAGACAAATAGTCATAAACCCATAAACATTATTTATACACACAAATGCTGCAAGTACATTTTGGTGCAGTCAACCAAATCCTATAAGTATAAGTGAAGCAGCAGCCATCAAAGTTTTAATGTGCAACTTTTATGACCAGCTTCTCCATTAGTTTAATCTGCTTAAATGCCAGCACACAGGGCAAATCGGTATCATCTGTTGGCATAACAGGACCCTGTTAAGTGAATGGGAACCATTAAGCTTGTTATTAATGTTAGAGCATCCCTAGAAATACTAAACTATGCTTTTATAGCTCTAATTAAAAGAGTGACCACACAAAGTGTTAGAAGAGCTTGTGAAAGAGCACATAATGTACTTCTTTTAGTTCAATCCATCACAATTCTGAATGAATAATTTAGCATTTGGTTGGCTAGATTAAAAACACTTGAGCCCCATGTAATTTTCACTAGAATTAAAGAGTTTGGAAAAATGATAGATTTAGAACCATATGCAACTAAGTGTTTTAAAATTTAGTTTGCGCAAAAGAAACATCAATTTGATTAAACTATTTAAAATCTATAGCTAGTTCAAAATGTTTTTAGTTTAATGCACACCTTCCATCATTTACATAAATGAGTATGTGTAGAAATGAAAGTTTAAAGTATCCTAAAGTTTTTTGTTTTTTTTTCCGCCCAGGGAATTAATAACTTTACAGATTGACCTTTGAAGAAACGGACCACATCTGGCCAATGGATTAATTTTATTTAAGAGATATAGGAAAGGTGATTGCAGTTCATATATGAATAATTGTAGTTTGGGCGTATGGTGTAAGCATCAGAAGAGTTATTATACATTTGCATTCAGTACATCTATTTAGGTTTAAATGAGTGTATGTGTGCCTTTGGGGGTACTTGATGGCATTCTAGGGGTTGCTTAATTAATTATTTATTATTTTTAAATCATTACAAATAGTATCCATTTGTTAAAAAGAGGGGCAGCACGGTGGCGCAACTGGTAGAGCTGCTGCCTCTCAGCGAGCAGGTCCCTGGTTCAAACCCCGGTCCAGGGGCCTTTCTGGGTGGAGTTTGCATGTTCTCTCCGTGCATGCGTGGGTTTTCTCCGGGTACTCCGGTTTCCTCCCACAGACCAAAAACATGCATGTTAGGCTGATTGGTAACTCTAAATTGTCCATAGAGAGTGATTGGTTGTTTGTCTCGTTTGTCTCTATGTGGCCCTGTGATGGACTTGCGACCCGTCCAGGGTGTACCCCGCCCCTCGCACAGTGATTGCTGGACATGGGCACCGGCGACCCCCGTGACCCAAAATGGAACAAGCGGGTAAAGAAAATGGATGGATGTTAAAAAGAGTGGTTATAAATAAGTATACTTCAATAAAATAAGACCATAAACTTAATTTTAAAAACAGTCAACTATTTAGTTTATTTATTCTAAGTCTAAAAAAATCTGATGCACCCTTGTATCAAGGTAGTTGACTCAACCTTGCTCCTGTCACAAAGCAGCACCTGTCAATCACTCCAGCCTTGGAAACAGATACAATGGAAACATGGTTGAAGTGTAACAGCAATGTTGCTGAAACACAGATGGGCCAGAGCAAAATAAATGTATGAATTTAAATTTAAAATATATATTCAAACAAATATATTTTTAATTAAATTTGATTTTTTTTCACAACACAAAATCATTTTCATATAATTTTATTTGATTTCAGTTTAACAATCCCATTTATTTTCACAAAAAGGCATACTATTATAGCAGATAGCGCATGCCCTTTGCATGTATAGTATAGTGTTTGAAAATCTTTGGAATATGATTTCATCAAAAACTACAAGATTACAGGGTCACAGATAATTCTTATTTTCTGCCTTCAGAACTCTTTTCATTAAGTCTGTATAGAAAACAGAGAAAAACACTCAGCTCCCTTATGTAGAGATTCTGTCATGAGGCCAGCTGTTCAGACATAAACTGCACTCTATAACCCTGGAAGAATACCACTAACAAATGAGAAAATATACAGCGTTCAGATGAACAGTTTATAGAAACACACAGCAACTATCAGCCTGATTCAAGATGCTCAGCTAATCAGCCTTAGAAAAGACAAAAGTGGCTTGAACTCATTCAGTTTTACAGCTATTGAGCTGTTATTTAGTGTAGAAGCAGAGGTACATATTCTGAGCACTATTAATTAAATATCAATATTATAAAGAAGTGTTAGTTTAACTGTCTTTTTGTGGAGTTAGGTGGGTTGTGGAAATACCTTCCATCCATCAGTCTATCTTTAAGCTGGATAACTTGAAAAATGAGTGAAACACCAACAACCATTATGTGGTTTCATCTAGGTGTAAGGAAAGGTCATTTTGAAAATTAAGTCAGAACGTTCAAATCCAAGATGGCTGTTGCCATGTATGTCTGTCCATCTTATGAACTGGTAGATAACTTTTAATAGAAAATGAGGTACCAACTTCCATTTTTGTGTGTGGCAGCATCTAAATGTAAGAAAGGTCACCACTAAAAATAGGGTTGCCACGTCAAAATTCAAGATGGCTGCCACCATATAATCTTATGAATTGGATAATTTGAGAAATAAGGAACCATCTACCAATGGACTTGTGACCCGTCCAGGATGTACCCCGCCCCTCGCACAGTGATTGCTGGACGTGGGCACCGGCGACCCCCGTGACCCAAAATGGAAGAAGCGGGTAAAGATAATGGATGGATGGATGGAACCATCTGCCATCTTCCATTTTGGTGTGTAGTTGCATATATGTATAAGGAATGTGTCATGATTCATGTTTTCTGGACTGTTCATGTCACGTTTCCTTTTTTTTGTTGCTCTCCCTCAACTCCTATCACTTAACACAGCTCACCTGTGTCTGCCTAATTATCTCAAGCTGTTTAAAAGCCTCTCTCAGCCACTGCACCAGTGCCAGATTATCTGAAGCTTTCAGCTAGAGATCCAGCCTTTTCAAGCCAAGCCAAACCAAGCTCTTTAAAGAACCTGACCCATTTCTGCCTTTTCTGAACCCCTGTTTATGCCTGATCCTTGTCTGCCAACGTTTGCTCTCTGATCTCAAGGTTTTGACCCCTGCCTGGCTTTTCACTTTGCTCTGCCTGCTCCTCTGCCTGACAAGTTGTTGCTCTCGGATCTTATGGTTTGACCCCTGCCTGGCCCTCTGGATTCTGCTCAGCCTGCTGATTTCTCTAGCCCCTTTGTTCTGTGAAGACCTCATCATCTATTTGGACCATTTGCTTGGACCGTGCACTTCCTGGGATGTCCTAATCCTTGACAGGTTGGTCTAATCTTTCTGAGCTAATTTTGACCTGCCTTGCCCCTGTCACTCACCTGCCTCTCTCTGCTTCAGATCTGCAAATCAGTCCCTGAGGTCCAGTGTCCAGAGCTGCAGTCTTCATTTAAAATAAAGCCTGTAAATGATTTTTGTGTGTTGGTAGCATTTCTGGGTCCTTAGTTTACTTACTCCTTACAGAATGTCATCAATGAAAATTGGTTTAACCATGCCAAAATACAAGATGGCTGCCACCATATGTGTGTGTGTGTATATGTATGTGTGTGTGTATATGTGT